GAACCACTTTCACCGCTGCCGCTACCAGACCCACTGCCACTACCACTACCCGATCTCGATCTCGATCTTGATCTTGATCTCGACCTGGACCTCGATCTTGATCTGGATCTGGATCTGGATCTCGATACTGATCTTGATCTTGACCGAGATCTTGACTTCGATCTAGATTTTGTACTCGATGGAGTTCCAGATCGAGATTTCGCGGGAGTTCTAGAACGAGATCTAGAGGCTGATTTTGATCTGGACCTCGATTTAGAAGAGTTTCTTGACTGTGGTGTACCCGATCTCGACCTTGATTTACTACGTGACCTAGATGGTGATCGTGATTCAGAGCGTGAATGAGAAGCAGATCTGGATTTCGACGGCGATCGAGATCGAGACTTTGATCTGGATGCAGACTTCGAACGAGATCTGGATTTTCTGCTGGACGCTCGAGAAGACGCTCTGGACGATGCTCTGGATCCAGCTTCATTCTCGGATCCTTTTAAAATAATGAGAAACTTTGGTCATCTCTAAATTGTTACGAATTACTAAAACTTATAGTATTATACTACTGACCTTTGTCATCTGCTTTCTCAGCTTCTTGCTGTGGTTCTTCGTCTTCCTCCTCTTCTTCCTCCTCTTCTTCCTCTTCATCTTCTTCTCCAGGCGGTTCCAATTGTTTCTCTCTGTATCTTTGCATCTTAAACTCATTAGCATTAAGTGGTCTGTGTCTGACAATTAATCTCGTATTGTTTGGCTGTTGTCCAGCTTTTTGACGACGTTTACTAAGGCGCACACGCGTTTCAAGCTCGTTATAATATACGCCATCTTGTCGTATAACAAGGAAATAATTTTCCTCGTATCCTTTGGAAGCTTTACTTTTAACATTCCAATTATATTCCCTGGCCATTTTGTATTCGTACTCTTCGTCATCGGCGTAATCAATCCCAGCCGTGAAATCTCGTCTACGTTTGTCCAATGTTTCTTCCAATGGCAAAAAGTATGCAACAAACTGTTCACCGCTTTCATCCATCACACCTCTGAAAAAATACTTCTGTTGTAGTATCTGTGACCAATAATAAATTGAAATACTATGAGGTTACATAATTGATAATTTACCGAATCATAGCCTGAGACATCTCTTCAATTTGAGCTGGCACAGAACGTCCTGTTGGAGCAGGATCTGAATCAAATATGACTTGAGCACAAGGATACTTCCATAGCTGAAAATAACACAGTGATATTGTTAGATAAGATACATCTTTTCTGAACACAAGATACATGATTTAAGTATCATGTTGCTTTCAAGTAATGTACAAATACCTTGAAGTCTGGAAATACAGGCAAAATTTCAACAGGTACCACGTTTGGTTTACTGTAATGTCTTTCAATTGATTTTTTGTTATCTTCAAATGTTTTCTCAATAGCTTTTATTTGACTCTCGCGATCCATGTATAATGTTTCTTCCTTAAAGTTCTTCTTAATACTATAACCGACTTTAGCCTCAACTTTATCAACAGTTTGTGGCTGAAATCTTGTTTGTTCAGTAGAAATGTATTCTGTACGCCTAAGCCAAGAAACACTCCTAGCATGATGTCTGGATCTTTTGGAGTCTTGTGGAGTAAGAACATCTTCTTCCAGTAATTTTTCATCAGCAGGGTCCAATTGAGCATTAACATCTCCAGCATAAGTGTCTTTATTTATAAGATCTATCTCTACTCCTAAATCATGTTCTGTTAATACTTCATATTTATAATTTCGTTCCAAGGAGGTTGGATTATATTGTATAAACCTGTAGTAAATATTCTTCTATTATATATTGTTTAAACAATGATTGAATCATAAACATTCAAGACTCACCTAGTGGATTCAAATGGATATGTAATAAATTTTGGATCAAATGGTATATCCGGCAATGTGTTGCAATATTTAACCCTGCAGATTAACTCGGACCTAACAACAAAATAATTATAAAATAGTTCAATGCATTAACATTAATTTTAGGTTATGGCATAAAATAACAGTTTACCTTTTCTCCGCCGGCCTAGCTGTACGTTTGTCCCTGTCAGTTGTACTGCCATTTGTTTGAATTGTGGGAGCCATATCACGTTAATGAATAAAACTTAATATTTTACACATCACAACAAATTATCCTTCAATACGGTAAGTTTGTAGTGTAAACCACACTTTGTGTATGAACACATTGGCGCCATCTAGTTGGTAAATGCTATTTAAATTCATGAAATTTCACATCCTACTTTCTTTCCTTAATATAATTTCTGTTTTTCATAGGTGTACGAAAAATACTGCGAACACATTTCCTAGATAATTTCCTATGTATAACGATACTCGTACACTATATCTTTTTACAATTTCTATTTCTAATAAATAAGGTGCATCTATTCACAAGGGATTGAATTTAATTTAGAATGCATTTTGAAAACACGAGAAGTGATAAGGTATACAAAACTTGAACCAGTTATTGCAACTTTACAGATAGTTTCAAGGGTCGTTAATAAGACGTATCAATATTTTCCAATATTTTCCTATATGTGATACTATCGTATAACATTGTAATACTTGGTGTAATATTTTCTTAAAAGTGATCGTAACTATCAATGGTTTTTGTATGTCACACGATTTCAGTACGCAGGCGTTCATTCAACCACGGTATTGATTTGAATGCGCAATGCCAAATAACGATAGTTAGTCTCATTCGGAAATGCGGACGTTGTTTGTCGTGACTCGTTACGTTGTCCAGTAACTAGGCTATTACTCTGCAATCTAATTCACGGTGAAGGAAAAGGTGTGCCAAGAGAAAAGAATCGGAAAAAATGGTTGGACCAAACGTTTCCTTGTGACTAACCGTTCCGGAAGGTGGATCAACCTCTACACAGGGCGCATCCTTCAGGACACCTTCCGAACACGAACGTGCAAATACGGAACTCGCAACGCTTTGCAAGGTAAATTGATAGAAAATTGCTGACATCCAATATAAATCATAATATCGGAACTAAAACTCGTATACTGTTAAATACAAATTACGGGGAATTCGGCTGTACAAATACAAAAATGGTACCTACGAAACTGCCGCCAAATTTCAAATTTTTGGCTGGATGAACGAGTACTGTATAATTACTGGATTTTGAAGTCAAATGAAATGTTGACGTTTAAAAGTGTTTGTAATTTGATTTTAATTATTTTTTACCTTTTTAGGTGTATCCTGTGAGCCCTGTAACAGGGCCCGGCGCAGCGAGATCCGTATGGGAACTAAGTCCCGATCCCGACATGGTCGGGCATCTACCGAATACTCCAATTTCTAGCACTGCTCATCAGAGTCATGGATCATCGAAGGGCACTGAATTACAGACAAGGAATGGTCCAGATGACAATATTTATGCAGATGAACATGCATCGGGACAAACACCATCCGATGAAACTAAAAGAATCTTTGAACTACTTAGATCCGGGTAAGATTATTTGCTTCTAGACCTTGCTTCTCTTATGAATCAAATGATTAATATAATGAAAATTATGGGACATAATTTCAGTGAAATTGGAGCTGTCGATGAATTAGTAGAGAAGAATGGTTTGAGTGTATTAAGTGCAAGAGATGAATGGGGATATACCCCTGCCCATTGGGCTGCTTTGGATGGAAACATGGAAGTCAGTTTCTATATTTTTATTAATTGAATATATACTGTTTCCTGCTATAAAGTAAATATTTTTTATTATACATTAGGTAATGAGATACTTAGTAGAAAGAAATGGACCAGTCGACCTTTCTTGTCTTGGAACACAAGGACCTAGACCAATACACTGGGCTTGTCGTAAAGGCCACAGTGCAATAGTTCAATTATTATTAAAAGTTCGTTACTTAATAAAGTTATTGTTTATGTAGTTATAATTTTCTCGTTTAAATTTACATTATTTGCATTTTCAAGGCAGGAGTAGCTGTGAATGCAGCAGACTTCAAGGGTTTAACACCTTTGATGACTGCTTGTATGTTTGGAAAATTTGCAACAGCAGCATTTTTATTGGGATCTGGTGCATTGGGACATTTAACAGATATAAATGGCGATACTGCTCTTCACTGGGCGGCATACAAAGGCCACGCAGAGTTAATAAGATTACTTATCTACAGTGGTGTAGATTTACAAAAGCCAGATTATTTTGGCTCCACTCCGTTACATTTAGCGTGCCTCTCCGGCAACGTTAGTTGCGTGAAGATATTATGCGAAAAAAGTAAAATTGAATTGGAGCCACGTGACAAAAATGGGAAAACACCATTGCAATTGGCAAAGAGTCACAGACATTCAGAAATTGTAAGGATACTGCAGGCCGAACAAAAACGACGGGCAAGATGGATTCCACCCATCAACGAACTTTGGTTCGTATTATCCTTTTATCGATAGCGGTATAATCATTACTTTATTAATATTTATACTTTTTCAAGGGCGCTATTATTTGGTGGAGCTGGAAACAGTAAAGGTCCCATACTGCTCTTTATGATATCTGTTTTATTATGGGGATATCCAATGTATCTATTAAAATGCATTCCACTAACATGGAATCTTCTACGCGGTAGTCATTATTGTTTTATTTATTGGAATGTCGTTATGTGGATTTCTTGGATTGTTGCGAACAGAAGGGATCCCGGCTATGTACCACAGAATAGCGAGACTTATTACAGGGCCATTAAACAAGTAATTAAAGAATTACTCACCATTAAATGTCACAGAATTTTTAATGAAATCAAAATTTTCTGCAGATTCCATATTTTGATAAATGGAAAAAGAGGAATGTCTTACTATCTCGATTGTGTCACAGTTGTAGATGTTTCAGACCTTTGAGGGCGAAGCACTGTAGAATTTGCAATAGATGTGTTACATATTTTGACCATCATTGTCCATTTATATACAACTGTGTTGGTTTAAGGAATCGGTACTATTTAAACTAAACACGTATTTGCATATATTTTCCTGTAACTTTTTAATTAAATACTGACTCATTGTTCCAGGATGTGGTTTTTCCTTTTTGTTATGTGTGTAGCAATAAATTGTTCCTTTACAATTTATTTTGCTTGCTACTGTATGGCAATTGAAGGAATTCAATTACTATACGTATTAGGTGTGCTAGAAGCTTTGGTGTTCTGTGGACTTGGGTGGATTTTAACATGCACTTCGGTAAATATAAAGTATAACTGTATTTAGTTCGTAATATGAAATTAATGATTTAACGGATATTTATAATAATATATCTTTTTCGCATAGGTATTGCACGCGTGTATGAATTTAACTACAAACGAAATGTTCAATTATAAACGATATTCATATTTAAGAGATAAGAAGGGCAGATACTTGAATCCATTCAGTAGAGGTCCTGTTCTCAATTTTATTGAATTCTTCCTTTGTCCACCGAATCATCAAGCAAACGACCCCCAAAGTTATCACATACTTTCAGAGGATATCATGTGAGATCCTGTAAATTGTGATCACGATTTTACAACGCCTTTGCACGCGTAGAAAATGAGAAATGTTATTAATTATACAATTCATACTATTTTTTGGACTAATTACAACATATGTACCTGCACATAATCTACATTGTTACTGCTGCTAATATTGTCACTTTTTATCTATAATATTATTCATGAAACAGTTTCAATAAATAATTTATTAACTTACACTTCTTAATTTATTACATCTCTCTCGAATATATAATAATCTTTACAAAATATTTATAAAGTAAACGACGTTAAACATGATTTTAAATAATATTCCATTACGATTACAGTTTACTCATTAAAAGTGTTACTAAAAAAGCGGCACGAGTTTTTATAATCGCACAAACAATGTATCAAATTCGTATATACAAATAATTTTAAAAGATTTATATATAATTTGTATATGTAAAATGTAAAATATATCTTTGGTAAAATACCACTGCGTTTCTCGTATAATTTAATTAATATACTGACGCAATTCAATTTATATTATCAAAAACCATGCGTACTATGTAATCACAATACTAGTAAAAAACATTCAAATTCATTGGCTGTATAAAAATTGTGATTATAGTCCTAAGTATGGCAGATATTTAAACCTACATAGATTCGCGTCAAATTGTTAAAATAACATTGAACGCGAGAATAAATTTTCACTTTAATTCATAACAGAAGTCATAATTTGGTGGTGGATCAGGAACAGCAGGTGGATCCTGAGGAATATCAATTCCTTCTGCATCTAAAAGTCTTAATTTGATGTCCATAGATAATAACGTTTCCAAATCGTTTTCTGCCTCTTTACTGGTCATTCTATTGCCTGTAAATAAATACTAGCTTTTTAAATCTATAAAAAGCAAAGAACAGTGCGCAGACGATCTATTACATACATAATAAAGCATTAATGCCATCAGTCCAGTAATCGAAAACTTGTTCATCGGGCGCGACAAAATCTAAACTCGAAACATCCACAGAATCCAAAATTAAGGAAAAAGCTAATTGATGCGTGTTTTTCCGTCGTTGTACATCTTTCATGTGTGGACAGTCCCTACCAGTGAGTAAACCCCGAATTTCGACAACAGCCAACTTCGTAGGAAGCTCATCAATCGTTGGTACCGACTTCTCATCGCAATCTCCATAATGGAATACTTTATGGTTAGGCGATAGTCGAACGTACCAAAATTTATCTTTGATTCTCTGTCCTCTAGCGCCATACTTCATAAATCTAGTGCCTTCTACCAAGAAACCTAAACGTTGCTGTTGAATGAGTTCTACAATTTCAGGTGTAATTTGTTCCCTCAGTTCAACTATTGGTCTTGCATGACTTTCTCCCTCTTCCCTATTAGTCCTTTCTTGTTGCCAAAGATTAGTGATTGTTGAGTATGTCAATTGTTGTAACTTGTTTTTAAATTTATCCAACCCTGTAGGCTTACTCTGAAGTGCTCTAGTGATTTGTTCTCTTACAACAGAAAATACTTTTACAAAATCTTCAGTGGTAGCTCTCATCTCTTTCCAAGTCTTATTTAAAAGAACTATGCATGCGCAGTAAAACTCTTCAAACGGATGATCATGAGTAAAGAACATGGGATGATATGATTGACCTTGTTCACTAGGAGCTTCCCCAATACGTAGCACCTATCAAAGTAATAAATTAGCTTAATTTATTTAAACTATTGTTTAATTATTTTAATTTGTGTTGCATATAAACTTACCTCACACAGTAATTTAACAAGTTCCACACTTGTCCTACCAAATGGACATTCATGTTCATCTGCTCTGCAGGAATTCTCCAAAACAACTTTAGTATATGCCTCTGTATGATTACGTGCAAAATAAATCATGCAATCCAGAGCAAGCATTCCAGGGGGAGTTTCAGTGAAGTCCAAAGCAGGATTAATATCATATTGGAAACCCAACTTTTTATAATCTTTGGCATAAAGACCCTGCTTACGAGCTGTCACATCCCCGCTAAGCGCTCCTTCAGTGTCAAAAGCAATTTTCCTAAGCTCTTTAATTTTATCATGTGCATCTTGATCTTGGGGATCCATTTTTGTCATCATTCGTTGTTCCCATAAACTTAACATTAATGTTTGCAACACATATAACTGATGTGCCATTTCTGCACCAACCTGTATAAACAATTAATTACATAAAAAGTTTGTATACATGTTACAAAAAAGATAAGCGCATTTGTATTCTATACCTGGCCAGTTGACTGTATGATGTTTGTTAAAAACACATTTCTAACTTGTTTTGATTGAAGGGTTGCTGCAACTGCCTTACGTTTGGATAAATCAGCTTTTAAGAACAAGGCATTTATCAAGGCTATTGCATTTTGTTGTATTTGTGGACTCATACTTTGCAAATGCATCACTAAATTGGGAAATGTTACTTCCTTTTCAACTTGTGCATACTTTCCAGACGAATTGAGTACTATATTTTCAAGGATACTAAGCGAAGCTTCAACAATACTGATGTCTTGAGTTGTAGCCTGATTGTTTACATAGCTTGCTACTTTATTAATAAAAGGAGTTTCTAATATATCCCACGAAACAATTCCATGATCCATGAGTTCGACAAATGACTGAAGTGAATATGCTAGTGCAGTGCTTTTATACTTCTCTCCTTCCACCTGTAAAAGAAATGTATAAAATAGAAGATAATTTAAAGCACAGCATTTAGAACAATGTTAATGATTATTAAAACCTTGATTACCTGTGATATAATTAAAGCTAGTCCTTGCTTATTAATGAATTCGAATGCAAATGTCATATCTGTACTGAGTGTAATCAACTTTTGCAAAGCTGCAGTTTTTTCTGCTAGAGTTCCATTGTTAAGCTTAACCAGAATATCACTAGCTGTTTTGGAAGGAGAAAATTCTAATTTCAGGATACTGCCATTCTTCACCTCATTGCGATTCTTCTCGGTGATATAATTTTGATTGTTATTTTCAGTAAATTGCAATGAATATGATTCAGGATCAGATAGACCCCAACCATTGCATAGTTCCTGAGAAAAAATTGAATCAAGATATTGATGATAATTTTTGTTCAATAATTAATAATTTTATTATTCTTTGGTAGACGACTATCATTCAAAGTAAACGTAAAAAGATTGTAACAATTCGATTTTTACAATATAGCAAGTGTAAATTTCCTTCTAATTACCTGAATAATTCCAGTCAACGGATGTTTTTGATTAAATTCAATAAGTTGTGGTACTTGGTCCGTCATTTGTGACTGCATTGTCACAGCAATTTTCACAATGTTCGAATCCTTCTGGACCGGCATTTTTATTGTTTGAGTGTACATGAAAGGATGCAGGAACGATGTTTAAATACCGAAATTAAATCGGCAGATATGATGAGCGCCGGTCCAGTCTGTTTTAAACGTTAAAAATTTGACGTATCCCTTGTCATAACAACGTGACGGCCATCATGTTGCTTTTACATTAAATCCCAAAGCGTCTAACGGCCTCGCCCCTCCACGAATCGGATGGAAGGAAGTGTTTCTTAATGACTACCGACTGATATAACATGCGCGAGCCTATGGACAGGCGCGAACGCATGGTTGATCAAATTTTTAAAAAACAGTTTCGTACAGCTTCAGCGGAATTGTAATTAAAACTGTGGCAAAATAGGAATTGTAATAGGAATTAGAAAGGAAATTTCAGAATTGTTATCTATTTATTTAAAGAGGCGTTAATGTAATTTTTATGAATTGGTTTTAGAAAATATTTCTATTTTGTTATATTAGGTTTTTGTATTGAAAATTGATATACAATGTATCAAGATCAGTTGTATATAATATTCATAACATGCAAACATTCTGCACAAAATAAGAATTGTATCTATTAAGAACTAGTTATTTGCTTTTGCACTATTACATAACTAACCTTTTTTTTTAATTCTTTGTTTATTTAAACTTGTCAGAAAAATATCGTGTATTATTTCTTCATTGCGTATCTGTACATGGTATGTTAATTTTAATTTGTACACTCATACAATGCAGGTATTCTAATAGCTGGTATGAAAGTAAAAGTATAACAAGAAAGCACTTTAAAAAATTTTAAATTGAGATTTAAAGTGTCCAATCCCAGGGTATACACAGAACACCATCACTCATAACAGAGTAATAATGTGTTACCCACAGCATTACGCCTTCTAATCGAGGAGCTAGTACACTTTTGTGCAATAATAAACGTTCACAGCACTGTATCATCAGATCTGGAGTAATACTATCATCTTTATTAAGATCTATTAAACTTAATTCCTTGACTGCTTTGTCATGAAGCTCACGTTCTACATATTTTATGCTAAAACAATCAAAATAAAAATATATACATATATAATAGAAACATAGCACTTTAAAGATGAATGATAAGATAGTCGGTAAGATAATCTTACTTGTTATAGTGATGTAATCTTTTAGTAGCTTCTTCTAAGTTTTCTGTAATGAAATTGACTAAAAGAAAGCCTGGGCATGAAGATGGAACTATAAATTGTCCAGTAGGAGACAGCATTAGAGGACCAGCTTCCCTGTAAATGAAATTTCTTTCAGTATGTATATTCATCTTAAATATATATATATCACACTGTACTCAGAAGAAACATAGTTAAATTTTCTGATACTTACATAGGAACCAAAAGTAAATATATTACATAGGAAATGTTAAATACTGCAAATAATACTAACGCTTCAATTACAATTTCATAAGCTGATAAGTTGCCTGGCCACACTTTAGGATAGTTTCTTCTTCCTCGGTAGTCTGAGAGGGTTGTAGTTAGCTGGCGAAGCTGACGCTCGTACTGGCTAACCATTACCTTGGGCATGAATTTCCTGCACATATAGAGGACTCTGAGCTTTACCGTCACTCAATATATACATTGTATTACGCACCGTCGACCAACTTTTATGTCAAGAAGTACTTGTGAAACTGCCTTCTCGAAAGCTGGTAATCTCAACAGTACAACATCATGCTTTTGAACATTTTTGATTAGCTATAAAAAAAGACTTATTTAACAAGTGGAACATAATTAATAAGTTGTTTTTCGTTCAGCAATATGTCCTTACATCAAGCCAATTGTGTCTGACTTCTCCAGAATTTAACATAACACTTCCCTCTAGACTAATGCCTGTGTCATTGGCAAATACTAGTGTCCTATTTCTTAATACCTTCATCGGTTCAGGATGATGTTCAGATAATGCTTTGAAGGCTAACAAACAACCTCTATAATGAGCTATATTCCATCCACAATCCCATTTAATATTTTTTAAACCTAATTCTGAGCATAATAGTTTCTCTAGCTTTTGAACTTCCTCTCTCATTGGCCTGCATGCTTCCAACTTCACATGCACTTCATTAATGTGTTTATCTAAATAAGCCCTAATCAATAATATTCAATTAAAATCCTTGAATGAAATTGTAGCTATGCACTTGGTAAAGCTACATTTAATACTGATCTTACTTAAGAGTATCTGGTTCTATATTAATTTTTCTTTTCATCATAATGGATGCATAGATAGGATCATCCTCTAATTCTGAAAAATCTATGTTCTCTCCCGAATATCCTTTTCTTTGCCAAAACCTTGACTTGTACTGTGCACCATCTGATGGCTTTTGCTCTTCAATTTTGTCTACAAATGTGGTCGGTAGATCGCATGTTTTCAAAATTGAGAGAATAGTTTGCCTCAGATCCCTTTCTTTTAACTGTATCTGTACTAGAGTAAATTTACCAGCCTTGACTTCTTTCTCATCTTTGGAGCGTAAATAAAAAGGCAACGTAGTAGGCCTTATAGGTTTTTGCTGTTGTAAACATTCTAAGATCGAGCTCAGTTGCTTTAAAGAATTTTCATTCACTGTCTGGAAAATTCAAAGTAATTCAAAATAATATTTATTCAGCTCTGATTCATAGAAATCAAAAGTATGGACTTCAATATAGTCGAGTAAAGTGCAATGTATGTGCAATAATCATTGCATTCCCTTTGTTCTATAAATACTCTCAAATACAATTAAGTTAAATTGCATTGACAATGTACAATTGTTGAAAAATGTATACGACTCAAATACACAGTATATTATTTATCGGGGAACATACTCACTCTTTGTGTTGGATATTGACCAAAAAGATCGGGATGAACCGTAAAATAAAAAGGTCGAAGTGCCGTCGACACTTCGCCTGTACTCAGTGCCCTCACAGCATCTCTTTTGCAGAAGCTGTCAAAGAAACGATCATTACTGTATGATCTAATTGTTACAATTTAATAAAACGGGCCAGCTTACCATCTTCCTAGCACACCAAACATTTTTACAGCTCAACGAAATGTCATCACACGTCCCTATCGCGCGTGAGTTTACCAGCTAAAACACGATAAACATCGCATTTATCCCTCGTCCAGCTTACCAAAACATCCTGCTATATCATACGAATAAGCAAGTCCGTAGCTCATTGGCCGCAGAATACGATCTTTCAGACATATAATCTTCTCGAACTCTTCAATATAAAACCACGTTGCAACAACTGCTCTCGTTCCATGTCTGTATGCAAACTTGATACAACATTGGACTTGAACCTCTTTCTTTTTGTCTAATCGATGGTGGGATTTATGTGGTGTGCGTATATATACGTGCACGTATGTGCATTGATACGTGCATGTGTACATGCCGTTAAAAATAAATACCCAGTGTGTTATGGTTGATTGCTCGGTCGCATTGTAATCATATATGACCATGCGATGCAACAAATATTTTTATTATTTAATTGTAGGTTTAATCCGTTTATAGCAAATACGATTGCCCAAGAGACAGTGCAATAACAAGTTTAATATTCGAGTCAGCTTTTTATTTCATTTACAGCTTGATAACGAGTTTCTGTTTGATTTCAGTTATCGCAAACTAATCCATGGAATTCTATATTTACAGAAACATGCGAGATTCTTTTATTGGCATTATTATTAGATAACTGCGGATGATAAAATTTCATTGTTTATATGCAAGAATATAATAGGTTCACCCTATGCATCGAATCGCATCAGCAATACGTCATACACGAACGCCTTGCAGTTGATTGATACCGCGCCAGCTGTTTCTGCATCTGTATATGTGGCAACGTGATGGAGAAAGGAGTCCATAGGGATTAATGTAATACTACTGGCGCGGTATTGTGTTTTTCTGTCTGTGCTTAGTCACAGATGGTCAAGGAAATGATTGATACATAACGTGGAGTCTTTTGAGACTCTGAAACACTAAGAGCTTAGAAATATTCACTCAATCGTGCACCAATTGTCGCTCGACGAACATGGTCCATACCACTTACGGTATAAGCGTTCCACGTGATTAAAAACAATATTGCTGATCAGTATCGTGTCAAAATGTAAATATATGCGACATCTCGAGCTGGGCGAATAAATCTTGGATACTTTTATAGAATTTTGTAAGTACATTACAATAAAATTCTGACTAATGCCTATCTTTTGATTAATCAAGAGATTGCAGAAATTTCGTATGTATCTTAATCGTTTAAACGATTTTGACAGGCATGAAGATTTATGTGTTTTCATTCGTAAAAAACAATATGTTTCACCTTCATTGTTACTAAATATTGTTCTTTTCAATTTCTTTTTAGCATTACTATGTATTCTATTAATAGAAGACCCCTGTTAGGGGGTGCATCGGATAGTGAATTTGAAGATGATTTAGAAACTGAAGTTGATGATCCACATATTTCTGCCCCAGATGAGAAACCATTTTTAAAACAACTCGAACCTCGTGATAAGTAAGAATGTTATGTTCAAAAGATCCTGGAAAATAATTTACAATGTTTTACCCGTTGTTTTTCTGCTCAGGTATAATCTAGCGTATATAGTTTTTTATTTACTTGGAATAAATACATTGATACCATGGAGCTTTTTTATTACTGCAGACGACGTAAGTAATACAAATTTTATTATTCAGTTCCATTAACAATGCATACTTTGAACAATTTATTTTCTAGTATTGGATGTATAAGTTTAGAGAAATACATGAAAACTCAACAAACCATATTAACTGTACTTATGCAGAGAATTTAGAGAAAACCGAGTTGCAAGCAAGCTTTACATCGTACTTGAATGTAGCAAGTGCATTTCCGAATACTCTTTTTTTAATTGTAAATACATTTATTAGTAAAAGGTAAGTAATGCTATGTTTCTTGATTAGATTAATGCTATACCTTACTACTCTAAGATGTACTATAAAATACTTAAAATAACAGAGTTCCCCTAACAATGCGAATGGTGGGATCTCAATGCACAATATTAGTGTTCTTCATTTTGACAACAGCATTTGTTAAAGTAAACACAGATAAGTGTAAGTTATGAAAGAACCATTTAATGTAAAATACAAAAATATTCATATTGTATTTTTTAAATGAAGAATTCATTAATTTTTAGGGCAAGATACATTTTTAGCAATTACCTTGACCACAGTGGCATTTGTAAATGGTATGTACATATTGTTTAAAGTATTAAAAAAGTATTTCAATAACTACATGATACTTATTTTATAGCTGCAAGTGCAATTTTTGGAGGGAGCTTGATGGGAATTGTTGGCCGTTTTTCCCCGAAATATATAACTGCTATGTTAAGTGGTCAAGCCCTAGGAGGAATCTTCACAGCTATTACAGAAATATGTTCACTGTGGATTGGGGCTAGTCCTGTACTCTCAGGTCTAGTCTATTTTATCATTGGAGATGTTATTCTATTTTTATCTCTGATTGCATACATTGTTTTAGAAAAAGCAGTGAGTATATTATTTTAATGAATGCAAAGTTACTTATAACACAGGTGTTTTGTAACATATGGTAAGGAGCTTATGATAATGACTCATACACTTAACGATTTTTCTTTGTATAGACATTTTTTAAACATCATATGCTAGAAAAATCATCTGGAAACATAGAAAGAGAATACACGGTCACTGGAGAAGTAGCTTTCCCTCAAGGCACTACAATTTCTTATAGCCGTATTATTAAAAGAATTTGGCCATATGGTGTTAGCGTGTTTCTAGTATTCTTTATAACTCTTTCCGTATATCCGGGAGTTACTGTATTAGTGGAAAGTCAATATAAAGGAAAGGGCCATGCGTGGAATGGTAAGTTTAATTAGACATTTATATCAATTTCAAATATTTTATTCTTATACATGTTTTACAGATGTCTACTTTGTACCTGTGGTGACTTACCTCATTTTTAGTATGGGCGACTATACTGGTAGAATATTATCAGGCATTCTACAATGGGTGTGTGTAATTTTAAATTGTCTTGTTAAATTAATTTTATGATTATGTATCTGTTATTACGATCACTTTACTAATGTTTTAGCCAAAAAACAAACCATGGCATGTCATGCTGTTAAGTTTAGTGAGGATAATTTTTATACCAGCTCTTATGTTTTGCAATGCACAACCCAGGCATCATTTGCCTGTTTATATTCAAAATGATCTGTATTACATTCTACTAACTATCATATTTGCAATCAGTAATGGTTATTTGTGCAATTTGACATTTATTTTAACTCCTCTGTAAGTATTGTAGCCTTGAATGATTGTATGGTATGTTGCAATATGAAGTTTATATATAGTTTTAACATAATCCTTCAACAGAGTTGTAGAATCTCAAGAAAAAGAGATCGCATCTGCGATGATGGGAGCTTTCCTTGGATTGGGATTAACATTAGGTGCTGCACTCAGTCTAGTCATGGTTAAAACACTTTAATCTGTATTATTTTAAAAACGCGGTCAGTACGCAAGTGTTGATCTCACTGCCGGTTGTACAGTTAAAAACAAATAGGACCATGGGACATGGAGTCCATACACATTAAACTGAGGAGTAATGGAGTTAATATTTCATGACAAATTTTACAAATGTAGTGTTTGAAACATAACATTAAATTATATTTTACATATTCTTTTTATGAATTATGTACTTTATATTTAAACATTCCGTGAATATATAAAACGTCTTTAGCATAAAATAATGTATGTCAAATTATATCACAGATTTGAAATACATGGAAGCATGTAAGAAGTGAATAAATAAAAGATAGATATGAAATTAATTATGATATACTTTAAGAACGTGTTTATTTTTAATAATCCGAAATACAATAAATTATAATGAAAATCCAATATTCGCGAAAAATAAAGAAATTTCAGTAATTATTGCACACAATTATGACTAGAGGTACATTACTTTTGTAGCGTAAATATATTCGTCCACAATCGTTTAATAGTTGTTCAACTTTGAGGCTAAAAATGCATTTTGATAATTTTAACAATGGTTTGTTAATTATACAGACATGCCAAGGTATAGCAGTAATATAAGTACTTACAATTATATTTCATTGAATACTTGATTGTAGTAAAAAAAAAGCTCACTGGAGCATGCATGAATCTCATGAAGGATACTGCTTGTGCTTACTAGTGAGTGGTACAAAAACAACACTAGTAAGAGATTTTTTCTTAATCGTCCCATCCATTGTTTTATCAATTTGAACTAATGTCTGATCTGAATTTGCTGGACCCATTGGTAATACTAAACGTCCTCCAGGAGCTAACTGGTCAATCAACTGTAAAAATAATGTGCATAAACTAAATTGAATTCAAGTAAGCCGAAATGACAGGAAGTTTCCTTACAGCCTGTGGTAGTTCTTTAGCAGCTGCTCCTACATGAATTGCATCGTATGGTGCATTTTCTGGATATCCTAATCTTCCATCTCCAACTGGAATATCATGCAATCTTTAATATGATACAACAAAATAAATTGAATATATTTATAAGTTATTTAAATTATAATTACCAACTAATGTAACACGGCCACTGCTAAGAAGTTCTGGTTTGTCCCGCATAATATTCTCTTCTGCGAATGCTTTAAGTTCAGGAATATGATCTATACCTACAACTGTTCCATTGGGTCCTAGCATCATTGCCATACACGCACTCAAATATCCAGAACCAGATCCAACATCTAATGCTTTAGCACCGCTGTGTAATTTATCTTCAAGTATCTCCAAAGCATATGCATGCTAAGATGTATTAATTAATCTTATTAGTTTTATTTAAGTTATTTAATTTTTGTTTAAAGTATGAAGAACTGTACCATATGAGGAGCACTTATCGTTGCACCATAACCAATTCCTTGTGGAGAATCAACATAAGCGTAACTGGGATGAGTATAATTTCCTCTGTCTATAGCAGACATTGCTTCATAGACTTTCTCAGACTTAATTATTCTGGATTCTAATACAAACATATGGATATATGTTAACTGCTGTTCTTTTTATGTAATAGAGTTTCAAAACAGTAAACAGATTGTAAGTATCACAATAATTTTATTCGCATTACTTACGTTTCAGATGATGTATAAGTTCCTTATTATTTCTTGCATGAAATCTCCCAGACCAAGCCATTTCGTATGCATATACCGAAAATAATAAACTTATTAGTAGGAAAATAAAGTGTGTTAAATATTGAGACTGAATTTTGAGGCCGTGTGTAACGACTGAATAAAACACCCGGCAACCTATTTATGGTTGCAAATGTTTGCAATACAATTGTATAATAATAATAATAATAATAATAATAATAATAATAATAACGTTTAACGAAACTGTTACTCTATTGAAATGATATGTCAATCCTCCTTTCGCAGAAAGAAGGACTGAATTTACTGTATTACAAGTTAATGCGCGTTCAAATATTCAACAATAACTGGAGGTTACAATATAACAAAATTATCTGTACTACTCGGCATCGAACGTTCTCTAGCTACAAGATTCTTAAAGAAACAGAATTTTTTAATATTCCCACGCCAATGTCACCGCCACTATTGCGTTACTGAATGCAATCCACTAATTTATGACCATGCTGGGAGCCCGCTTTATTTCCGCTACAACCGACAAAATAGAACGGATTGCAATAGGTCAACATATATAACAAAGTTGAATTTAGTAATTTGTCAATTAAACTGCATCCTATCATTCAGTAAGATATCAAGTTACATTTTCCAAGTCGATAATACCAGTGTATTGAACGTTAGTCTTCGATTTTCTGTTTCACGTAATGTTAATATATTCTTTTACCTGGTTAGAAATACACGTGTCGCAGTTTTACTAAAATAAGATAAACGCAACAAATAATACAAACAAATTGTTCCGATTTGAAAATAGTGTTCAAATGCAGTCCCCTTTTTTACCGACAAGCAGTATTCTACTCTACCAACGACGCAACTTCAGCCATCTAACGGAGAAAATGCGTTCGAACAGGGCGTACTCGTTTGATTGCGTCATAAGAGAAACTGATTTTCCTAGGTGGTCGGCCATATTGACTCGCGCGTAAGAACATTGAAAGCAGTCCCGTATTCACCGTTCCAGCGGCTTGTATTAAATGATACGTTACTACCACGAGGATCCTCTGGCACGGTTGGATTTTCCATGAACTGCGATCGGTCGTCGGACGAGGAATTCAAAAAGAACAAGGTATGTAACGAACGATTTCTTGTACGCGCGAGGGGACTATTTGAAAATGGTGCGAGTATGGGCCGTGGCCGCATCCAGCGTCGCCCCGCGATTCGACGGACCTGTTTCGTGTTCGTAGCCGTCGGCGGAATTGGAACGAGAGTTGTTTACGTGCTTACAGTAGGAAGTTCTCCGTTACCCGCTCGGGAGAAAAAGACAGTCGGTGTTTTCGGCCCTGTGCGTTCTTTCTCGTTGTAATTTTTATTCGTGACTTTTCGCGTACCGTGGTGAGTTAATCGAGGGAGACCGCGTCCACATCCATTGGTAAGTTTACTACTTTTCTGATTTCATCCGTCACCTTCGTGATACAATGTACCAAAGTTTGACCGAATTTTTATTTGAAAAAAAAAGCTCATCATTCGTTCGCACAAGTTGCGCAGAATATAAAATATTCGTACGCATTCGGATTTTTCGAGGATGCGTCAGTACACACCTGTAAATAGAAAGTTTACCATTGAGAAGTAACGCGATTTAAATGCTGTTAATGAAACCGATCGTAAATTACTTTTCGAAGATGCAGCATCGCATGATGGACCCGTAGTATTTATTCGCACAACCCGAAGTAACGTCGAGGTAAATAATCCGATATTGTGTCCACGGTTGCACGTATTGAATGGCCAAAAATCAGTGTAACGTAAAACTAGTGTGTTACAAGCTACAACTTCTCACGTATATTTCAACAAAAATTCACGGAAACATCTGTTTAGCCCGGTTTCATGGAATTTTGTTTCGTGTGTCCTGCTGTGATTGATATGCTGTTACAATTGCATGTATATTGTAATATTTCGTATATCCCGATGTACTCTATGGCATTTAACATAAACAACGCTGATGAATTATTCGATGATTATTATCGAATATGACTGAAGCTGAACGAGACTAGATCGGCGCCTTGTCGATCAAACTTTTCGATATATACCCGAGTACCATGTATCATATTTCGTTCGAGAGAGAGTATCTGCCGTTCTCTAGTGATCCATGCAGAATCAGAGACACAAAGAGACGCGCAGAATCCGTGAAAAATGGAAACGGGCAACAAATGGAAAGTCCGGTGTCGGCGACGTGACGCGGTGAAAACAATTGACAAATTTCATGCATTCTCGCCGTTCGTAATTCATTTCTGCCATTCCCGGCACCGTGTGTATACGACCCTGAAGTTTCTGCGAAGTGTGCCACACGCTCGGCACTTCGTTGCGCGTACCCGCTCTCTCCTTATACATTGAAATCAACCAAGAATCATCGAGATGATTTATCGAAGCTAACCTTTCGAACCATCTCGTGAATTTATTAAGTGTCCAATAAGTTTCAAGATCAGCCATCAATTTCACCCTACTGCCCACTGTTCAGGAAGGAAGAATGGCGGGGGTTACGAATACGTCTTCCAGCGTATAACAGGTGGGTCAAGAGTGACCCGACACTAGACGACGGTTACGCTTGTGTTGTGTTAATCCGAACGTTCTTGGCACTAAAAAGAATAACCGTGCGAGGGTTACACGTAATCTGGGATTTTGTCATAATTCCCGCGAACGCTCGTTACGATCAATTAGGTCAATTACGCGCATCGCCACCACGGAGGTGTCAGCATTTTCGAAAGACGTATTACTCGAGTGGCGCGTTTCTGCCCACTGACAATCAATAAACAGCTTCCCTTCGTATATCTTCCGGTGCTCTTAGCATTTTCCTCGGGAAATTTTCGAGTGTGTTTCGCGGTACGGTTATTTATTGCTGCTCCCGTAACGCCCTGAACCTACGCGCATCAAATATTAATCGTGTCGGGCAACCGTTAACGGTGTCCTCCGTTTTTCACACTTGAGGTGAATTTTCATCGTATTCACTCTACATAAACTAGCGTAATGCTTTTAGTTTCCTCATTTTGCAATTCTTGGTATAATGAAACCGTTGAATGTATGAAATTATTGCATGCTATAATTTGTATAGGAATTATACGCGTATGAGTCATACTAATTTTTCGGTAGTTAGCGTTGGGAATTACAAAGAATCGTGTCCAGTTGAATGGTAATTGGTGGTCAGCTTTGGTCTGTCTAGGATGAAACAAATAGTAAACACGTTTACTCGGCGGCACACTTAGCATTACCGTAAGAATCGTTTCGCGTTACGCGCGAGAAGTGATCGTAGATCGTGCAGATGTGGATCGACTGGCGGCCAGATAGCAGGGTGTATTCGAAATTATTATTACAATCGGGTGCAGTGTTAACCAGGACATGGAAGCGTGTACACTCGCGATGGCCGGCCGATGTATGTAGGGAGAGGTGTGGCGTTGATAGGTGCCGATGCCACGACACGAGCAAAGTTACAATGAACTTGGGGGAGCTTGCTCGCCGGTGCAATAACGCTCTGTGTATTCGTAACGCGCCTTTCACCTACCGGGAACCTGCGTACTCATGAACTATGACACGGGTACCGCTGGGATATTCTAACCCCTTTGCGACCCGACTTTACCAAACTAGTCGAGACAGGTACTATATTTTAAA